GCTGACCTGTCAATAATATTCGATGCTTCCGACCGAAAGAGTGCTCCTTGCAACCAGCCGGAGAAAGAAGACAACCAAATGCGTAACATTTGTGGTATATATATATATATGGTGAATTTCACGGTCCCTGATGCTTGAAACAGATGTCTGGTAAATGTTGTATTCTTTCTACCCGTGTAGGGATCTTTCCGTTGAGTTCGGTTCCAATCGTTTGTCAATATCCACACTCTCAGAAATTTCATTCAGACTGTCTTATTTTTCCCCGAGTATTCGTTCTGGGAACCCAACGAATCATCTATACGCGGAGGAGCAGTAACAACCGCGTTTTCAAACGCACATGGGTGTAGTCGTAATTAGTAAATTACACGATTTAGTCATCAAAATCATCGAACTCTAACCATCGTACTGAAAAGTTACTTTGACGCCAGAAAACAAAGTAAAGGGGTACATAAAAAAGGGGATGGGGGGGGGATAAATGAGTATCAAAAGAAGAAAAAAATAGATGAACGGAGGGAGAGAAAAACAGGTGAAGCAGAGTGGGAGATTAGTTGTTGTTGGTCGGCGAAGGTGGGGCAGGGTTTCCAGGTTTCTTCTTTGTGTTTGCATCCATGTATGGGTGTGTGTGTGTGTGACTGCCTGGGGGATATGATGGAAACGGTCAACTACGGTTAGATTGCTGAATGAGATGGCATGCAACTTGGTTCTTTTCCGTTTACCCTAATTCGTATCGTAATCACAGTATTCACAATAGTAGTGCAATTTTGGCGCAGAGTTGTTTGAAGTACGGAGAATGAGACAGATCGAGTCCAAGAAGCTCCCCGTCTGACGGTCAAGTGGGACAGTGAAGGAGGAATTTTCACATTTCTTTTTCGAGTATTTTGGTGTTGGGTAAAATGGGCAGGGGTAAGGGATTTTAAGTGTTGGCCAGAAATTTTCACAGATGCGGAGGAGGAGGACCAGGAAGAGGTGGAAACTACATCCTCAATAAAACTGTACGCAAAATGTATTCGGATTCGAGATGGGTGGGGTGATGCAAAAATTCAAGACTGGGTGTTTGGGTTCGACCAAGGATAACCAGCGTGAACGGGATATTTCTCAGTGTTTCAGGTACATGTATGTATATATATGTGTATAAAACAGAGATAGGTCGACCACTGCATACAGTCTGAACAGTAGGAAAACCGAGCAAGATGTATACATATAAATAGATTAGTTTACAAAAGAAGCTAAAAATGGGAGACACCTAAACTGGTTGATCAGAAACGGTTGGGTTGCTTCTGTACGTTTCAACTTATCGTATGAAGACCCTTAGCCAGTTGTTGTGTTGTGTGTGTGGTTGTATGCATTGGTATCACAGTTTATGCTCGGTTTGTGGACGTTTGTGTGTTTGCACTTATTTTGTCAACAACCGCGTTTCAACAAACATGGTTTGAAATCACAGAATGGAGCAATTTCGACAACAGCTTCCATATGGTGAAGATTCATTCGAATTGGTATCTCCTTCTGCGTAGCTTCGGGGATTGGACGATCGCATACTGAATTGGGAAAGCCTATCTGTCCCCACTGAATCTGTTCGATGGTTAGGAGTATAAATTGCAGGCGGGGGAACGTTCGATTTTCTCATATCGTTCGGGCCCAATGGGTCAGTTGGGAAATGATGATGACCTCTGGATTCCGACGTGCCTCTCGAATCAGTCACTTGTATACTCCGTCGAATATTTTCCATCGATCCGTTGTCAACCGTTACCACACGATCACCTCGTGATGGATAATCCTGTGGTAGTAAATTTTATTGCATAGCATTTTTGAGAATGATTGTTTGTACGTGAAATGTTTTGAACATAAAAAGCAAGCCTCAAAAGATCTGCATTGGCGATCATGTGAATCTTGAAAGCTACCGATCTGTTGACGGCGTGATTACCAAACAAACGGTATCTCAATCGGGGACATATTCAAAGAATGTGCGTGCACGCATTATAAATCAGGTAATCAAGCAAGAAACAGTCATTTGGACGCTGTTACACTCACAACCACTCAAAGGATGATCAACGTGATTGACTCGTGTGACATGGCTAGTCGTATGGATCCACAAG